GGCCCCGCCCCGGGACACGCCCTTGTTCTTTAGCCCCACCCCTCTGCGCTGGACACGCCCCCTCCGCGTGTCCCGTGTCCCCGGCTGTCCCCAGTGCAGGGACGTGCCCGCCCCGGCGAGGGCACCGTGAGCGGGGCAGAGACCCCCGCCCCGGCTCGCCGGGACACTCCTCAGAGGCTCCCGCCCTTGGGGCTGACCCCTGGCGTAGGAGCCACCCCGGGGGCGACCATCCCGGGGGAGGGGGTGTGTGTGCAGCCCCCTCCCCTGCCTCCCATAGAGACTCGGGGTCACCAGACCGACAGCTGCCCACCCATGGGCAACCGGGGCTGCGACCCCCCACTGTCACCCAAATGTCCCACTGGAGACAAGGGCAGCTGTTCCTTTGGGCTCCAGGCAGAGAGGATGAGGATAGCGGGGCAGCGGGGGCTTTCCAGTCCCGTGGGCTCAGCGTCCTCATCCCCTCCGTGGCCTGGCAGCCGGCAGCAAACAGAAACCTTTGGGTACAGACAGCTGCTGGGGAAGGGAAGAGAAATGAAGAGAGGGCCGGATCTGAGCCCACCGGGCCTGGCCGCGGTGTCACCCATGCCCGGCGGAGGCCAGGTCTCCCTCCCCGCCGCCTGGGGTTGCGACACTCGTGTGTGGCAGAGCAAGAGCAGACGGGATCTGACACGTCCCCCTCGCCGCTCAGCCTTGCTGCCATGTCCTCCCACACACCACAGAGCCGAAGCTCTCTGCTGACGCGTGTTTCGAAGTGCCAGCCCCGGCAACCAAGGCAGGAGAGAAAAGCGCTCACCACAAATTACCCTCCTCTCTAGAGAGAAGCTCCTGCCCTCGCGCAGGTGCTGCATTAGCGTGGCGTTCTGGCTCTAGAAAAGCCTTTATTTCAGTTCTCCGACTCTCTTTCGCCCACCGAGGAGGGAGAAGAGCCCTCGGGTGGGAGCAGGGCACGCCGAGCAGCGCCGAGCCGACGACGACCCTGCCGCGGGGTAGCTGCTCCCCGAGGCCTGGCTGCCTCAGCCCCTCCAGAGCAGGAGGCCGCGGGGCCTGGCTGGGCCCGGCTCCCCCACACCGGCCCACGGGGCCAGGCTCTTCCTGACGAGGGTCCCCGTCCGCCCCTCCCTTTCCCCCGGCTCTCCTCAGCACGGCGCTCCTGCTGTCCCTCGCCTGGCGCCGTTACCCTGGGCACCCTCGCAGGGGGCTCCGCCGGTAGCTGCCCCCCCGCTACGGCCGCCACGCCGGGGCTCTCCTGGGGGCTCCACTCCGTGGCGGCTAGAACACCCCGAGCCCCGCCGCCCCCGCGGGCCGCGGCAGC